AAAGGCCTGATGCTCATTCGATACGGCGAGCCAAAAAATGATTACTGTCGAGCACTAAAAAACACCTGCTGGATTTTACAAACTTTCGGATTAATAAACTTCGGCTTTTTTGACGGCCAAATATTCTCATCGATGTGAACTGAAACCTCACACAGAATTGCTGGACTGTTATTGCATCATTACTAAGAAATGAAACTAACATCAGAAAAAAAACACATTCAGTTTTAACGAGATTCACGTCAACCAAAGCACCTCATAGTTCCAGCTAGACTGATTTTCCTACGGTGAAATGATAGAGAACGTCATGCGTGGGGGAAGGTAAAGTTCAAAACTATTAGTCATCCTGCGTTCTCTTCAAACATACTAACACCCTTTCCACGTAAAGTTTAACAGAATTTTACTTTTACTCATCAAAAGTATACCTGGGGAGCAAATAATCTCGAGACGGCTATTAAAACAAATGTTAAATCCTTAGCATATATGACAATGATCTTCAATTTCTTTTAAAAGCTTCATCTCACTGCAAGTTTATAGAAAGTTTTGCGGTTCAATGTCTATAGCTTGAACTTCTCATATATCAAGTAACCTGTTGAAGTTGCACGTTTGGAAGGCGGTTGATTAATTTCTTCGTCAGGATTGAAAATGGTCTTCTTATAACGAACATCCACTTCAAGAACTAAGCCGATTTATCATTACTATCACAGCATCAGCGTCAAATCGGTTTGGGACGGTGAACAAGTCTTCGTCAAATGAAAAGCGCATATCTAACACCTACCTCAATAACGTATTAAATATTGTTCAGATCTCTGATCTTTCACTGCAAATGATGACGAAAAATTGACCTGATTACCATCGAAGCAAAACCACAACAAGTCCGAGATAGTACACCAAATCAACAAAAGATTTTGTGCTCTAATTCGTACCACAACGCCCCGCGTATCGTGTCTCAATAGCCGCGAAACCTACAACGTTTGAATGAACAAATTTTCGTTAACATTTAATTAAATTAATTTGTCAGTTGTAGGAGCCTTTGTTTGTATTTCAGTCATTTTCTGAAAAACTTGTGTAACAATCGATGTATATAGGCTTCAATCCTTTTGATTTCCCTTTTCTTCTCATGTGTATTAGATATACATCTAGAATCTCTGTCTTGGAATATCGGGAGCAGCCATGAGAGATTTTTCTGGCACATTGATTTATGACAACTATTTCTTTCATTGTCTTTCTCTCGAACAGGGTCTCAAAGATAATGAATGTTCTTGAACTTTTGTTCAAACTTGTAGCATTCAATAGTAGAATTCACGAATCTTCTTTAAGCGGAAACTAGTGCATTTTCTGGAAAAACCTTTGGTTTTCGTTATTGGAGCGTCCTGCGCATAGAATATGATCCAAATGATAAATTTTATACTGCAAACCATTTCTTCATTACTCCATGTTGGCAAAATAAGCTACAGCCGGTCAGAGATTAACTTTTGCTCCAGAGCATGCTCATTTACGATTTTATTTGGAGGACGGATTGCTTCAGTCTTTCTGATAGCTAATCAATATCATTGTCAAATTGCCAATAAACACAGTACAGACGACCAGTGCTTTTATATGTTGCGAAAAGTTTACCGCATAAAATTTATTATAAAATTTGCTATTCTGTTCGACATGCGATTGCTGAGCACTTAGAGTATTTCTGTGTATCGAATGCAAGCGTACATTTGGAAGTTCAAGAAGAGATTTAAAATGGCTGCAGTTGTCAAAAATCGATTATTGGCAGTCGCTTCAGAACACGGCATTAAAAATGTCTATTTTTTCGAGCAAGCACAATAATATGCATCGAACATATTCTCTCCATTCTTTTTTAATCCTTTTTTGTAGGTATGAAGGCACCAGAACGGGTGCCAGATCCTTTAAAGCAGAAGTTTCTTCCTTGGGATGGGAGCTTCGAGCTTGAATACTCGAAACATCTACGTACTCAAGATGATTCCGACTTAAATGTTAAATATTTGATGAATTGTATAGGTAAGCATTAGATGAATTTTACGAGATATGCGATGATGAGAGAGATGATGATGTTGGTCTGTCTTTTGTATGCAGGCGAGTTCACAAACTTCGTCGCGTTCTATGCCAATAACATCCTGGTGATACGGAAAATCCACGATGGGGGGTTAGAGGCTCCATTCATCTTCGGTGAAGATCTGATGGTGCAAGATGTAGATTATTTGCGAAGCACAGGTTTGGCATTTTGCTTTTATCAGATCTGCTTATTAACATTTACTATTATAGATGAAGGATTCGAGATCGTTGTTGCCCTCAATAGCACAAAGGTTGCAACTCACCCTCACTGTGTAGCCTTACTACGTTGGAGTGGTGCTCAGCTAAAGCTGCTTCGAAAACTGAAGATTGAAGAGGAGGTGCGATTTACTAGTAGTAATACAATTTTACCAATTCTTTCGCATTTAATTTTTGCATTTTTCAAGGCTAAAATGTTTTTTATTTCAATCATAATGTTGGCATATTGTTGCATTTCGAAGCTTCATTGACCGCGAACTACCTTTACATTAAAATAAATTTATGGCCTATGAACTGTGGTTGTCTTTCGAATTGAAAATAGGTCCATTTTTTT